CTTCGGCTGGCGGTTGAACTGACAGGCGATCGGAGAGCTCCGCTTCGAAGACCGATTTGCGTGAATCGCTGACACTGTATCGCGGATATCCGTTGTCAGGCGTAAGGAGAACTTGGCTCGTAACAAGGCGTGGTCTGTGTCCACAGCTGTTGACCAATAAGAACGACAGTCTTGAATTGATCTCCTCCAGCGGTAACTGGTGGCGATGTGGTCGATTTGGTTGTGTATATATTTGAGTTTGATGGACTGGTACTGCTAAGGTGTCCAGCCACTAAGCAGGAGAACGATTAGGTTTCTCGTCCAAAGCCTTTAGTTATACCAAGAACCTGACCGCAAGGCAGCGAGTAAAGTGAATTCGAGGCTCATTTACTGAAATCGATTACTCTACCATTTTACTGACTGAGACGCTAACTCAAGTCGAACCCCCAACCTGGAGGACCAGGAGATTGGACTTCGTTTGACCTCTACCCATTGACCTTCCAGGCATGATAAAATCTGCGGTTTGACAAAAGCCATCCCGTATAGCTCGTTCGGTCAGAGAGATGCCCAAGCCATCACACCACGTCAGTGTGCAGTCTCGTGATGGTCAGTAGGTGTTAGGAATAGTTGGATAAGCGAGGAGCTGGATAATAGGCTTTCTAGTATCATCATCATCATCAACCCTAGACACCCACCCCCGACCATACTCAGGATTTCGGAGGTGGGTAGTATGAAACATTTCAGCAATAATGATAGCAAGAACGAACACTCGTTAACCGTGTAGATTGGAGAATATTAGCCTTTCTGTGTGCTTGCGTGTTTGCTTTATTGTGTAGTGGAGTACCCAGTTATCAAAGCACTCGGACAGTGATCGATGTAACAATGGCAATTTGGATTGGGCTGAACGAATTCACTGTCTTTTCTTGAGGTACAAATGTCACGCCACTAAAAAGCGAGGGAAACGAAGCTCAGGTATTCTTCACGTATTCACATTTAGGGTTCTCAATCCTTGAGGTATCGCTCGTTGATCAAAAGGATTTGCCTGCTCGCGGTGAATGGATTTTTAACTAACTAACTCATTATGATAACCATATGTATTATTTTAAGCTTTTTTACTCGTATTAAACCGTTCGCCTTTAGCCAGTAATTGAGATTTGTGCTTTCTTTTGAATCTTCTTTATGATAGAATGTCCGCAATAGAAACCCCAATAGTTACGGATCGTCCGAACATCACGTCAGTCTTTCGTCGTCCTCATCTGCATCGCACAATATCAATCCAGACAACAACAGTGGCATTACGAGTCCGGAAAGCAATAGAAGTGACTCACAACCCTCTAGGTCAACTAGAGGGGTCGGTCAGCCGATTCCCCGGATCAGTTTACGGGCTAATATGCTAAATGCGCGTGCCCAACTATTCGATACTTTCTTTCGTCGTGTGGCCGTGGGTTATGCTCACGTTTTTCCTCTCACCGCCCGTCGCATAATCGAGTTTGGTTTCCTACTGCAGGTGAGTACCATCTCTTTTCGTTCACCAAAGTGAGTTCAATTTGAGTTACCAATGAGCTTGAATTTCTGTGCCCCGTTTTTGACTGCAATGTTTCACTAACCCATCTGATCTCTGGAAAAAAAGATTGAACAGTCTCACGGAACACGTTTCAAACAAAACAGGGATGAACAAACCCGTTTTCTGTGATTCGTATTCATGCCAATACAACAAGATGTATACTTTGGGATAAAATTTATTTATTTTACCAAGATAATTTCATTCCCAAGTACTGATATATATATATATATATATATATATATATATTGCGACGTATTGAAATGAATGCGAATCATTGAAAACGGGCTTGTTCACCGCTGTTGTTTTGTTTCAAATAAAGATTAACAGAGACAAGAGTCGATGTTGATAATATCAAATGTTAAATGTTCTGCACTCAAGGGAAGTGAGATGATTTATGGTCGAGGGTTATTAAACGTGTCGCTCCAGACTAACCCACGCAAACGAATCACATTGTAATTAGCTACCTTCGGCAGGGCTCAGAACAAATTACAGGTTCTAATAAAACACCTGATCACGCATTAGTTTTCATTGAGTTTGCGCCTCGACTCAATAGCCTATGGTCGCCTGTCTGATTCGGCTGTTCGTACCACCTATGACATGGTACTAAGCTACGACTAAGAGGTCGTTAACGCGATGGAGTAGTCGAAAAATAGGGTACGATCAGAAATGCACCGCATTCTGTAGCTAAAGTTACTTGTGGATTCAAGCCTAAAGCCCATCCGAGATGCCAGAAATCAGTAGCCCTGATAAGGGAAATGCTACGCATCCCGACAAACTGGAAACAAAACAGTGGTAGGTGATTTCCACAACGTTCGAAGAAGGGCCGTAGAAACTGGTGTTCCAAAACAGCCAGCAAAATAGAAGCAACCACTTCCTCAAACAGTAGTCAAAACTTGTTCAATTTAACATAGCACCATTAGCAATAAAAGTGTAGCATTTNATTTCCACGAACAGTTCAACTAACATTATCTCTTGTGCTATAATCGAAGCTTCGTGGACAGTGTTAGATGATCCTCTAACCGAAGTAATGTTTGGCATCCAAGCTCTAAAAGAATGAGAGACTCTTCGGTTTTCCTATTCACGAAGGAATGCCCCAGACGTCATGTGAACCGATCGTCTGTTTTATGTTTAAACAAATTCATGGTGTGTGGAGATGATGGATTGTTTTAAAAATGTCTAACTTCATTTGAGTGCTTCGGATGATAATTGCTTTAATATTACAGAGCCATGCGACACATTCACGATATTGTGAGCGAGAAAGGTAACGAAATCTGAAGTGATTAATTGGCTTAATTCGCTAACATCGGCGTGCACCAGTCTGCAAATTTCTTGGTAAAACCTCATCGCTCAAAATTTTGTGACAATCTGCTTCGCTATAACCTTGCTCACAATCCTATCTAGTCTCATAGAGCCATATGTAGTTCGTCACTCGAAGCTCCCGGGCTTAGGTTACTGGTTGTTGGAATAATGGTAAATCCATATGGATATGGTTTTCACCTTTTCCATCGCTCAACAAGTGTATAATTGAAAGTTGTTAATTTGAGGACTTTAAACTGGTCAGACGAAGTCGTTCAGGAAGACCGGGGTAGCTAGGTGTTTAAGGAATGCGAACGGTTTTCATCTATCAGGGGTATCCAGGTAAGTTGCTAGTTTTTCCGTATAGTTTGAGTGCTAACGTGGCCATGTTCGGTATGCATTTTGCACCTTCAAAGCGTAATATTTTGCAACAACACTAAGTTGATCCAGCACCATGCCTCACTCTAACTGGGGATGTAATAGAGCGAGTGGCCAAGTTTTATTATTTAGGCAGCTGCATCTCACCTGGCGGACGCATCACGGATGAAGTGTCGGTATGCATACAGAAGGCCTGACTGGCAGTTGCCAACTTGAGACATGTGTAGGGCCGCCGCGACATCTACCTGTCCATGAAGAGTGGAGTTTATGCTGCGGCGGTTCGGTCAGTTCTGCTTTACAGCGCAGAAACTTGGCCATTAAGGAAACAGGTGTTTAAACACTGCTGTCTACGCCGCATTGCGCGAATCTGGTGGGGCATTCGGACGAGCAATGCTGAGGTTAATTGCAGAGGTTTAAGTGATTGCGGTCGCTCACTGGAGCAAGTGGTCAACCTCCACAGATTACGTTGGTTGAGGCGTGTTTCGCATGTCACCAAATAGGTTGCCACGGCGCGCGATGTTTGCTGAGGCAGGTAGTGTGTGGAAAAAGCCAAGGGTAGTCAAAATAGGACCTGTCACGAGGGTATAAAAATCCTAACCAGAATATTCGATCATAAAGGTCGCGTTAGGCTCTCTGGATGGGGACCTCGGGATCATTGTAATCAATGGATGAAGACTCAGTAATTTGGCTGAGTATCGTTCGTGCATTTTTTCAGTTTCTCTGCAACCTTTGTCCACTGAAATTTTCCATTTTGTCTTATTCTCTACTTTCTAATTTCCTGCCTTTCTCGTATAACTTCATTCAAATGGGCAGCTGAAAGAGACCAATCAAAACCGGGACACGAAAGGGTGTGGTTAATAGTTGTACAAACTGAAACTGAAAGCTATCGGAGATAAAACATTAAAGCACGGTTATACCTAAAGAGGTGTATTGTTGCATGCACGATGGAACGTTAGCAAAACTGAGTTTCTTAGATTGTCAAAGTTAATATTAATCAGTTTGGTTGCAGTATGATTACCATGTGATTATTCTCATGTTATCATCTGGTGCTAAACCATCGTTTGTTCATGGTGTACCACTGAAGCTGTCAACATGTATAGCGTTTTTATTACACATGTTGTTGTGATGAACAGCAGTCGGGGTAAATCCGGTAGTCACGTAGATCTACTTTCAGTGAGTGAAGCCGACAACTTAAGCCCAGGGACTTGGAGTGGCGAATCGCTAAGGCCCCGCTAGGTTAGGTATGGTATTGAACCGGACGACAGCAAAGCTGCCTACTATCGATCTCAAATTTACGTTATTGGGAAAACTCGTCATCCGGGTTAACAGTTGATTGTGTCTGAAAGATGTTTTTGATGACTGCAATAAATAGACATTCCTTTTGAATGGTTTCTTATGGGAGATATTGTCACTTAAGAGATTAGGATAGTCAGTGTTGACTTCAGTAACTGAAGTACTGGTTCTTTCGTTCGAATGACTTACTTCTATTCTTCATCTCGTACTTTTCTCGTTCATCACGTCAAATAGATCTTTGGGTGATGTTCACCTGATACGGGGATAGGAAATTACGTTGATATAAATCTACGTTCACTGAATTGAAACATTTATTTCCCGAGATAAAGTTGGAGAGCACAACAAAGCTAGGTTGCACGATTTATTCCAAGGCAAATTTCGCTACATCTCAACTGTTACAGTACGGCAGAAAACCACAGTTTATATTGTTGAACAGTACATCAGGTTACACACGAATATGGTAAGGCCGTCATCATTGCCAAGGCAGTGACAGTGTGACTGACAGGTTTCCATTTCCTCATTGCAACCGACTCCGCAAACCTAGGCCGCCGGAGGTTAATGTTAGCATAAATAATCTTAAATCGGCTTGTCGGCTCCGAACCATGATTCGTCATCATCAGATGTCGAGCGATAGATGACGCAGGCTGTTTGTGTGTTCGGTGTCCTTGGGTGAGGGTGGGGGTTGGTCCCGGTGTAATGTTATTGATTGTGTTGGTGGTGTGGTGATGGGGGGGGGGGGCAACTTGGAGAATGACCTTTGCTCATGTGATTCGGCCCATCAGCATCTGATCTAACATGGGATGTGTTCCTGGATCCTTGTATACAACTGCGTATCTGTTCCGTCAATGTCAGATGCTCCGCATCCACATTCAAACTGGTAAATGATGTGTAATTTGGCCGACAGTGGCAGGGGCTACTTTGTGTGTGGAGTGGGGATGTATGGTTGTGAACACGATTTCTCAATCAGTCTTGGAAAATCAGGCTGATATTCTCGCCTTTGAAGGAGAGGCAAATGAAGACGTTCTTTTTGGGGACGCCGTATACTGCTAGTTTTTGCTCCCGTGTCGGACTGAACTTCTTAATAAAACTGTCAGGGTTGCCGTTTCCGAGAAGAATTGATTAGAGCGGGTTTTCTGCTTTACTGTACCAGTCGAAATGGAGCGAAATCTACCTTGGCATAAATCGTGCAACCTCTCTTTGTTTTGCTCTCTCTTTAAGTTCACTGAATTGACTAGCCAAAATGCGGATGGAAATTGAATACCATGAAAAGTTACCGATTACAGTTGATGAACAGAACTAATAAGATTTTAGAGCTCTAAATGTGGCTCTTAAAGTTCAATGTTTACCTTTACATGATCTTCTATTCCGTGTTCATTGTTGGTGCTTTTCTGTACTTTTCAACCAATCAATTAATCTGCTCATCGTTCTTGAAATAGACGAATACGCGGTACCCTCCCTTATGACACCTAAATGAATGCAGTAATCCAAGGATTATATTCTTGAATGGGATGGTGAAGGAAAGATTCAGGCTGGAACTAGCTTGATTCTGCATTTAAAGTAGAGTTGAAACTAAGACAGAAAAAAGGAAAGTGTTCTTCACTTTTGGTGTCCTTTGGAAGAAGAAGTGAAAGCTGGTAATAGTCGCTTGGAATGAGTAACTGGCTTCTTATGTACGGTACCTCCGAGGGACAACAACTGGAGACAATTCTAGTTAAACAAACCCACGAACAGTGGTAGAATGAAGAGAAAGGAACGATCGCTCACTTGTGAGCCAGTAACTACAACTTGCATGTTGAGAACAGGTCATTAACCAGGCAAATGGTTTTTGACCCGTATCAAGAAGTGACAGAGAGTTAGACGAAAATACCGCACTCAACTGCAGTATTCAAATGTAGGGCAAATCTGAGCGTTTGAAAGTGATGAAAGTGGAAAAAATTCTGTTTGAATTCCCGGCTTCCCGCTTTTCGATTACACGAAAGACATCTTTCACCTTTGTGAACATCTTGTAATAAACTGAATAAATTTGAAAGATCTATGGAATCAGATTTGTCGCAGAATTGCAGACTGAGATTGGCTGCATTGTTTGTTGACAATACATCGGATACATTGTCATAAATCTGAGTCCAGAGAATAAAACTGAATGCACATACCTTAGCGTCCAAGGATCTTCATGAATTTTTCCACTAAGGCAAGTCATCTTCACGTACGTGTAGGTCGCTGGTCAACAATAAGGCAATCGTGGGTCAACTACTGAACTTGCCTCAAATTAACGCTGTCAGGCACCCAATACAAAGTTATGGTTTGTGGGATCATACACAACTGTACCTCATTCTGATCCACTAAACTGTAAAGATCGCACAGATATAAAATCAGATTGGAAAATTGCTACGAGGATGAGAAACGATGTAACAAGGATAAGAGCCTATACAACGAAGCTTAGCAACAAAGGGATAAGTTGTAGGTGTCAGGTTGTTGCCATTTGCATTGTAGATAGAATGCACTAGTCATTCCGATAATTACAGCGAAAAAGTGTCATTTTTTTTAATCTAGTGAATGAGTTCAAATTTGACCTTGCTATTTAGGTGAAAGCCCCAGGATGGCCGGGTGGGCGTCGGTGTGTGACTGGTCACCCTTCCCTTGCACCTCGCGAAATGGTACTACACGACTAAGGGTCTCAAACAGCCTCTGCTGAGAGAACTCTACTCATTGCCTTCCCGTGGTGGTGTTCTCCCATCAAAGTGAGAAGACGAATAGCCAACATCCGAGGTTATAACCGAGTTGGTGAACCCGTGGCAGTTCATCTAGGGGATTTGACCATAAACACTGATTCTGAACTAACCGGGAGGAGGCGTACAAACTAAACACACCAAAACTTCCCCAGTTGTGTTAGTGATCACCGGTTCATGTGGGCATCGAGATGCATTAAACACTTTGGACGTTTGACCCCGTCTGAATGGCGTATGATCCAACGATCTGGGCACAGTTCCTCAATGAACTGCGAACTTTGAGCTTCGTTCTCCTGTCTGGCAGGTTTCGCTTTCTAGCCAAAGGCTTCGAGTTGGGACCCCGAGGTTATCCCCGTTCCCTGATCAGGGCAATCGGGAGATGACATGCCCACACAACCTATGAACACATTCTACGGATTTTTCCTTCGTATGTTGCAACATATTGACCAATTCCATGAAATTGGTTATGTGGTGAAATAATAAAAATTTACTTGAAATACTGTTATTTCTTTCACTGTTTCTTTGTACTATTGGTAAGAATCCTGTCAAGTTTACCTTTCATTGTCAGAGATAGTGGTAATTTGGTGGTTGTGAATTGTTATGGTTTTTTTCAAAGAATATAATTGCGGAAACGGAAAAAACTAGCCGCCCCTATACTTGTATCTTGCACTGAATTTGTTGAGGTTGACTATGTATACCACCTTTTTCTAGAACGATATCATCCAATTCATTCTTCATTTTAGCACAAATGCTCTAGCACATGAAAACTCCGTTAGGAGTTATCTCACGTTGCAAACACTCAGTAAATAACAAAAAAATTACTGTGCATGTAAATGTTGTAAGTTGTGGCAGACATGGAAACCTATTTGTTGTGAATTCGAGTGGATATATAAGATTCATTGTTCCCCGTGTTGGTTAACCGTGAATTGTGCTGATCCCGTTAACCTCCATCAAAAAGTGTAGCACAACAGTAGTCTGCTTGTCAGGGTTCTCTTACCCCACTTTCGACAAAATTCATCGAATGTTTATTGTGGGAGCATGCTAAAGCTATTTTTGCTAAACTGAAGCTGATTCTAGTACACCTGAAACGATCCACTTGAATATAAAGCATTTAAGCATTTTCGAGGATACATATATATATAGCACCGGCTTGTGGACAAGCATGGTGCCAACACTACAACCATAATAACAATAACAGGAGATGGGTGAATTGGGATACAGAAAAGATTATTGTACCATGATTTACCTGGCACACAGCCTGTCCTCAGATAAGTGTGAAATATATATATATATATATATATATATATAAACAGTTAAAATAGAAAATGGTAAATAACCGGATGTCCGTTTCTTGTGACTTCACACCTCATGGTTGAAATCATTCATCCATAGATTCTGTGGCATCGTTTACAGCTGTTCACCGATTTGAGCATGTTTGCATCTGAAAAGTTTTCAGTTATTGTCGTAGGAAGGTGACTCGTTTGCAAACTAATAGTCCACTTTGACGGTCAGGTCATGAAAACAGACATTATTTATTTTATATAGCGAATTTATGTATAAGTCATATATAATTTATATTGTTAATCATTTATTATATCAATAAAAATTTCCATTCAATGTCACTATCTTCATACAGAACGACCCTGTCTCATCGACATTGCTTTTAAGTGCTTTCATGGATGATGGAAGGGATTGAGATTTACATTTACTCCCAGTCCCGTAATTAAGCATTGTTTGTCTTCATCGTACGTCTTTGTTTGAAGGCATCAATATCAATCTGTGGTGATGACTGGGTCTCGTTCTACAACCCCGTGGAAATACGCATGTTGCTCACGTGACAACAATGAGAATAGATGGAGGGATTTGGGTGCAGACAAGAGCAATGAAAACGAAGAGAAACCGGTTACGGAGAAAAACAAGAACGTTATGCTTGTTTGTTTCACCGTACACATTTTGACTTTTTCATTGGGATTTCATCAAACGAACCGCACAGGATCTGTTCCACTGACTTCTATTCTAGACCGCATCTCGTATCGTGTCTATCCAGCGACAATTCTCACCCTTCGGCAAGGTGGATAACACCAACTGAAACCAATTATGAAGCCAACTTCTTCACACACCCAATACGGGGTTAAGGCCTGACGGTCCCGTCGCTACTTCTTCGTTCCACGGAATTCAGTAGCTACTTGATTTTACTGTCTTAGTCGTTGCATCCGTCTTACTCTAGCGGAAGGTTTTACTGCATAAAAGTAAATTATATCAGACACTCTTGTTGTCACATCTAGGAGTCAATTGTTTTTTCACTAACCTTCTCCTGATCGCTCCCACTGGATGATTCTACTCTTATCATTCCGTCCCTCTCCCCCCACCCCCTGAACAGGCATTTTTCGTTTTGGCTGTTTTCATTCACTTGCATTTCATGTTTGTTCGATCCCCAATCACCTGTCTGGACAAACTACGTAGTCGATGGCCCTCAGAAGCCGAATCTCAGTCCCAGTCACCATCCTTGTTCTTGACAACGCCGGAAGAGGATTTAAAAGTAATTCGACGAAATCATTATGCCCCTGGGGATCCACGCACTCCGCGGGAACCCTGGCCACAATACGGTGTACTACGGGTGGAGGTCATACGTAATCCAAGTCCAAAGTATAGTCTAGCCGACTCATATGCGAAACAATTCTACGGTTCTAATTTAGACTACTCAGACGATTTAGATGGTCCCCTAACGGATTTGTATAGCGACACTACGGAGGATACTGGCGATCCCATGTTGACAAAGCAATCCCCTGGTCCTGGAGCTGGTACTGCACGCACGCATGCATCCTCTTCCCTTGGCGCACATTATTCTATTCCATCCAGATACGACGCCTCCTGGTCGGAATCAGTTCAGCTATTGCACTCCCTTCGTTCAATGCCCGGCTATCTGTATGCTTGTTTGCGTGATACCGTCGAGTTGGTTGTGCGTACATTCTCTTTTGCCCCAGCCAAAACAGCTGCTTCCGGTGTCCAGTTGGTGCAACCATTGGAAGTGCCCGGAAGTATTCAGTTACCGGCAATGTGGAGTTTAAACTACATCAAGCACAACATATTGTGCGCTGCTTTAACGCATTTGGCCTCTCTTGTGAATAGTGTATCGTCTTCAGCAATGCAATTCTGTCGAGAGGTCCCTCTATGGCTTCAGAGTTTTTATGGTCCGGGTGAGTTACATTTTATCAACCTGTATCTATAAACTTGCTTTCCTGTAACCAAAGTTCTTTTTCTTAAACAATCATTGTAGCTGTTAGACATTTTTGGAGTACGCAGCCTTTTTGATGTTCATTTAGTATGACTTATAGGTGATCCATTCTTGACAAACTACATATTACATGTCTTTGTCGAGCAAGTTGTGGTACGGATATCTTTGTAACAAAAAAATCAGTACCGTATTTACCAATTTGTACAGTACTGCCAGGTTGCACCAGTCAATGAGAGTGATTTCCTGGTGGTTAGTTCTCTTCTTGGAAGACTGAGTGGAGCCATGGGCGCACAAATCTTGAGGATCGATGCAAAAAAAAGAAAATTGATAAAACAAATCACTGGGCAAACATAAATTGGATGGGAGGGGGGGGGGTGAACGGAAACTTCAAAAAGCATATTTGATTTATCAAAAATGTTATTATTATCCTATTATGTTTCACACTCATCTGAGTTAGGTCTGTACCAAAAAAATCACTGTTCAAAAATATTTTTAAGAAAAGAAATCAGTTCAGTTCAGCTCAGTTCGTACAACCATTAACCATGCACTTTCGTGCGCCGGTTTTGGCTGCTGTCTCTTGGTCACCCA